GGTCGACAGGGGAGGCCCAGGGGCTTGAAGATTCCTGTATTAATTTATTATCTAACATTTGTTGCACTTCTTCATTAATAAATTTTTGTTTAGCTAGAGGTACCATGTAGGGTTGAGAGCTAATAGGAGGTACATCTTCTGTATATATTCGATGTGTGACTAGATTGGTTCTTCCGAATTGAGTAACATCTTTTGCAAAGAGGTCAGCAAATTCAAGAAGTAATTGGTGAAATTGGGCTCCTTGACTTGAGGTAAAAAGTCCTATTTTTGGGGTTATTTCTTGAGTTATTGTATATACTTCTCGTTTTAATAAATTTTGTTGTATGGCTAGGTTGAGGACGTCTGTTTCTGTTGGTAATTCGTCTGTATCACTAAGTAGTTTTTCATCTTGCTTAGGATTATTTAAAAATGTAAAGGTCTATTTTCAGAAGGAGAAAACTCTGAACATAATCCTTGCAATTTATGATGAAAGGCTTCTAGATGGTCAATTCTACTTCGAAGGGTAATAACGAGTTGAGATTGTTGTTTCAAGGTCTGAATTTTTTCTTGAAGAACATCAATTATTTGTTCTTGTTGTTCCACTTGTTGTTGCAACAAGCGAATTATCTTCTGTGTATCATCATTGGCAATAGGTGGAGTTGGTTTTAGAGTTGGTCCTTCTGGTTCCGGTTCTTATACATAGGGAGGATGAGTCATGGCCGCTGAAAATAATACCAATGGTGATGGCAATGCCCAAGTCATGGAACAACTTACCGAACAACTTGCTAAGCTTAATATCAATCTAGCTGCACAACAACCTACTACTCCTGTCTATTACTCCGAAACTAACAACAACAATAATAATAACTTCCCCCAATGAGACAACAACAACAACAACAACTCTCGAGATGCCACCTGTTACTACTGTGGTAACAGAGGATATTTTATTAGAGATTGCAGAATCAAAAGAGAGGATAGCTGAAGGAACTCTCGAAATTATTGATCCTCTAGTTGAGACTATAGATATTCTTCTCAAAGTAATCGATCCTATGATAGATCTTGATTTCGCAATCGGGACAGATCCAGAAATCGAGACTATGACCAACGTAATAGATCCAGAAGTAGAAGCCAATCTCGTGATAGATATCGCTCTAACAATCGCTCCTCTTATGACCAAAATAACAGGTCTCGAAGCCGATCCTCTACCCCATACCCTTGAAATGTATATATCACAGATACTGCTAATGACTATACCTATGAACAATTTGAAACCTTTTTAGTTAATGAATCTATTAGAACAGCTTTAGCTAGTTACCTTATTGAAGAATCTAATACCCCTAACCAGATACAGACACCTACTTATACTACTTCTATTAAATGCAACATTAAACTCAGAAACAGACCCTATCATGCTGTTATTGATAGTGGCGCTGCAATTAGTATGATCTCATATCAAGTTGTCAAGGAACTTGGTCTAAAGATTGAAGCTCCCTCCACTAGCTTGATTGTATTAGCCACAGGACCTTCTACTAGACCATTAGGAATTATCAAAACCTTCCTGTTGAAATTGAAAGAATCACTATTCCTCTAGATGTGGAAGTTATATTCACTACTTCTTACTCTCTGCTCTTAGACAATGACTAGTCACAAAAAGTTGAAGCTAGTTACAATTGGAAGAATAAGGCTTATACTATTCGATGGAACAAAAAGAAAATTCATGTTTCTACTACCTATAAACAGCACCAACCTCTACCTGCCCAATCTACTATTATTGATAAAAAAGAGTTAGCCCAATTCGAACAAGAATATCTAACTCCAAGGAAGCTTATACTGTTACCCCTGCAACCTCAACAAATGAAAACCCTTGGACTATCCAAACCTTCAGATCCAGACGTCGAACTTCCCAAGTATTATCTAGTAGAACTTGCTGAGGATGCAACTCTGCTAGCCACC